TAACTATTATTTATAATAACAAGTAGATTTACTATTATTGTTATTCATTTAAATATTATAATTATTTTTTATTTATTAAAAAATATAATTATTATATATTTAATATATTTTAATTACATTGATTTTTTTTTGTATTATAATTTTAACATATTTTAGTAATATTTTAACAACTTAGATATTATTAACAAAAATATAAAAATATTTTTACAGTAATTTTATAATATATCTAATATATTGTTATAATATTTATAATATATTTTATTTTTGTAATATTTTATATATATAATAAAAATACGTCAATTACATTATAATTATATTTAAGCAAATTTATGGGTTTCTGTAAAGTAATGATTCAAATTTTAAAGAGGCAGTTATTACTGTAAGGCATTTTCAACATCTTTTTCAATAAATTCAAAATATGACTGACCTATTTGATCAGACAAATTAGATTTTTTGTGGGTTATGAAAAGATGCTCTGAGTTTTAAATTTATTTTCACTCACAAAAAAAGGTTATTATTGTTAAATTATATTTCATAAATAATTTATTAATAATTCCCAAACAAATAACAATTAAATTATTATTATAATAAAATTTTTATACTAATAACCTACAATAAGTTGTTAAATAATTTTGTATCACATTAATTTAAGATTCAATAAAAAAAAATTTAAGGCTAGAAAGAAAATTATTTTTCTAAGATACAATAATCTTTTTTTTTTTTTGAAAAAATGATTTTCTAAATCTATGATATTTTTTTCAATAAATAACTATGATCAACCGATGTTTAATTGAGACTAGAGATGTTATCCGTCTATCTGTTCAGATAAACAGATTTTTCTGATAATTATATAAATCGGGTAATTAATAAATAATAATTATTTTTCAGATCGTACAGATAAAAGATTTAATCTATAATTGCAACTAGTTTTTCTAAGCTTCTAGAAAAGATACATGGTCTGATCGTTATTACTATTTGTTAAAATGATTGATTTTTTTTAACTCTCTATATGCCTTTTGGTTACCATTATGATTGGCCTTTTGTAACCATTCAATAGCTTTTTGTGTATCTAATAGTACGCCATTACCTTTCTGATAGCATAAAGCTACAATATATTGTGCATTAGAGTCTTCTCCTTCAGCAGATTTTAAATACCATTCAAATGCTTTATTTTCATCTTTGTCAGTTCCAAATCCATTGCGATAGCACCATCCAAGCTTATTTTGCCCACTTGGAAAGGGATGCGATAATGATTTATATTTATATGAAAAAAGTTGACAAATAGAATGGTATCACACTGCTACAACTATTGTCCAGCAGGTACATCAATTAGCACTAATGTTGGTGCTGTATTTGGTTCCCTAAGATTTTTAGATTTCTATGTCGATGGAGAACTTTGCTGGGGAGTTGAGCTGACCCATGAGGAAAATAAGTTGAATGAGCATGCGGAACGATTTGAAACTGATGGTACATATGCTGATATTCCATTAAAACAATGGGCAATTCTTGATTGCAGGCATCATTCAAAAAAAGTAAGAGAACTTAAACCAAACTTCTGGTATGTGCTCTATTCAGATGACTTTAAAAGTGTTACTATTAAAGCGTGATGGATTTATTGATATGATGCTTGGTTTATAATATGATAATATGTAATTTTGAAGTATTATCATGATATTAAATAGATCGAAATAAATTGCAAACTAGTATTAAACTACTAGCATATTAGTTGAATTTTATGTTTAGAAAAAATTAGATAAATTTTCTATTTGTAATCGCAATAATTCATGGAATGACACTACAGAAGTGTACTGAGCTTGTAAAAAAATACATGTTAAGCATATTACAAATGTATTGTATGCACATGATATGTAAAAACTCACTATTAATTTAATATTTAACATATGAGTGCCGCCAAGGGAAAACCTACAAGTTGTACTTTTTGTATATTTACTTTTAATAAAAATATCTTGCAATCAGGCAATCCAATATCTATAGTTTTAATATCATTTGAATCATCTTAATGAGACGATTTAAATAATAAGAACAGTAGATATTAAATTGCCTGATTTTAAGATGTTTTTATTAGAAGTTAATATTCAAAAAGTGCAACTTGTAGGTTTTCCCTTGGCAACACTCATATAATAGTTATAGTCATCATATAATTACTGTATCATGTTAAAATTCTTAATAATAATCAATTAAACAATTATAGAGATTCGTTTAGTTAACATTCAAAAGTCCAGCATCATATAAAATGACAAGATCTTATTTCATAAATATTATTAGTGTATATTTCTATTTTCATCGTTGTGTTAAAGATTAATACAAATCTGTTTAATGATTATAAGTTTTCTGTATAATAAGTACTATTTATTTAGCTAACTAATTTATCTAAAAACCTCATTAATTTGGCTAAAAATGAATTCTTTATGTTCCAGTAGAATATTTATGAGCCTGACTAGTAAGTAGTTTCTTCTGAGATTCGTGGAGATATAACCCATAATAGTTTGTCTAAATCATCGATAAAGTTAACGTGACTCACATAGCAGAGAATGTGACAACTGAAGCCATAGAGCAAGAACTGGGCTCAGAACCCAACTCAAAACACAACTTTTCAACTTACAAACAAGGCGGAGACAAAACAGGCTCAATCAAGGTCTTTTAAAATGTACTGAAATGGAAAATTCATGTCTTGGAAACTTAGTTTCGTGAATTTTGACTATTTTGTTCTTGATTTTCCCATTTCTATACTCATCGACTTCTTTTCCTTGACGTAAGAGCGTTTTCCCTTTCTGTAGAGTTTTGTTTTGTCGTTTTTAGCACTTTTATAAGTATTTTGTTTCACATAAAAATATGCGTCCCGATGTTCACAGGCAGATTTTAAAAAACATTCTTGATTCGCCATATCCCAAATTACATTTTCATATATTGATTATAATTCTTAGATCGATTACAAATAAATGATAATTAATAATTACAGATTAAAATAGATTCCGTCATATCCAAAATTAAATTAAAATTATTATTACAGTATTATTATTATTATTATTATTATTAAGTAGAATGGATAGATGATAGAGAAGAAGTAATCAGTCACCTTTTACATGCTACGAACCCAGTGTTGAATACGTAAATAAAGATAATTATATTTAAGCAAATTTGTGGGTTTCTGTAAGGTGTTAAGAAAGCGCTAGCAATTGTATACTTTGTAATGGGGAGAAAGAGTAGCAGTCTATCACGTCTAGCATTCTGGTATGGAGTTTTGTAAAACTTTATAAAATATAATATATATATATATATATATATATAATATTATAATTAAGATAATTGTTAATGAAATATGAAATTTATGATATACTAAAACAAATATACTATTAATTCTTTGTTGTTTGTAAAATTTATTATTAAGAAATTCTTAAACAATAACAAAGATAAACGAATTAATACATTATTGACTTTAAAAATTTTGCAACTTTTTGTTATTTCGATATTTTGAACTTTTTTTTTATAATCTTTTCTCATGCGGACACCTCATCACTTTCTGCATTTACTTTTTCATCTTTCTCTCTTCCAACCTTTTGTTTTCTATTATCAAGTATTTTGAGAATACTTTGAATAACGCTAAGAATAATTTTAAAACTAGTTGTAACCAATACAAGAAACGGAATAATGCTATATGTTACGATTGATCGAAAATATATAATCTATAAAAATAATATAAAGTATTGAATTAACAAAAGAAATATTTTCTTGACTAAATATAATAATAAAAATTTACCTGAATAATTAATAAAGGAAGATTCTTAACCAAAAGATCAGCAATTGCTCTATATGGAGCTGTTGCAGCAAAATCTTTTCCGAATATTTCTTCTATTCTGTTCATAATTATTACAGTATCACTATCATACAATGCTAATAGAATGAATATGTAACTTTTAAGGGATTTTTTGTTTAGAGATTTCTTTTTGAATTTAATGTAAAGGAACATAGCAACATTTATTGTTATTGGTACGGCCCATATAAATTTACTATTTTTTTTAAAGAAAAAAAAATTATAAAAATAAAAATAAAAATAAAAAATTAATAAACGTTTTAATTAATAACAAATACATTTGAAAAGATATTAGATAAATCACCTTGCCAAGCTGATTTCCGGTTTACTATCAGCATCGGAAAAAGTAAATTGAGTCGCAACAGTAGAATGAGGAATAACGAATAATCCACCTGAAATTACATTGCCATATTTCTTGAAAATATCATCAGAATGACCAAAATAGTTCTACAGATAATATTAGATAATATTCATAGTGAGATCTTTTTTAATATATATGTATTAAGAGTGATTCATTTGTTTGAAATTTTTACCTTACCTTCTTCGTTTGAGAAATGAAGTAAATCGCTGAATTTACCAAAGCACTCACGATCAAAACGATAATTGCACCTTTATAATTACCCCATAAATCATGTATCGGTATAAATCCAAAAGTTGGTTCTAAATCATTTGTCAAACCAGTAGCAAAAGTAGTGGCTATCTTATTTACAACCATATGGGCTGCCGTCAATAGAAATAAGGCAAATTGACATTTTAAAAAAAATTAATCCCTTAACTTTCACAGCCCATAACTCGATGAATTTCAAGGCTATCTTAATGATTTATTATTCAAAAGAAAGCATACGATCTAAGCTTTCTTTCGA